GCAAAGAAGAGAAAAGTGAAGGTTATTGTTGGTGTACACAAAACATACACAAATTGTGTACATTGGCTATGTACACAGGCAATTAGAATGATTTTAACATCAAATCATGCTCCATTTTTAATGAATTGTCTGTGTACACAGGCGGTTTGAGTGGTTTTGTGTACACTTTGTGTACAACTCATGTACACTAAAAAATTTTCAAAAGTGAAAGTGTAAATTTGTCAAAAATAAAAAAGAGAGCTAATATTAGAATTTAGAATTAGTCCTAGGTTAACGCAAATTATACCGTGCAACCGGCGCACCATGAGGATGGTGTGTCTGGTTGCAAAATAGCTATCATCTCCTCCCCAAACACTGCAGTTACATGGCTAAAGTTACATTTTGTAACACACGGTTTACATTTCAATTTTTCTCAATAGTTCATCTTGGTTACACTGGATTTACATTTGACATGCCGCGAGTTACATCACAAAACTATGCAAGATACACAACAAAAATCCCAATTACATCTAATTTGTTCCCCCAAGTTACATTTCAATAAAAGCAATTTACATTTAAACAAGTTACATGTGAATGAGTGCAATTTACATTTTGATTAAGTTGAAGTTACATCTCGAATCACACGAGTTACATTTCACATAACAATGGGTGCATGGTGCTCACCATGCACCCCGGTTGCAAGGTATATCTACTGCTGGATTAAACTTGTTGTAAGTTATTATTTCGGTTTACTTTGATGATCAAGATTCATTTTCTTATAAACTTTCCCCCTTCTCTTACGGGATATCAAACCCACCCTTTCTCCAATAACCAACGGAATTGCCTACACCGAGTTTCCTATTGTGAATCCTCTGGCCGTTGAGCGAGAACATGTTGGTATGGAGGAAGGCGAACATAAATAGAGGCAACCAACATCAGCTTTGAAGAAGGGAGCTAGAGAAGGTGCGTGGTAGTGAAATACTTTTGGAGTCCTTGAATGTGTTTGTGAGGATTGGAGTTGCATGAATGTTTGAACACCATTGAGAAAGATATTGAAATTAAAAAAGGAAGGGTGAGCTTTATAGTGAATTAACAATCTGAAAAATTGTTGCACCTCATTTTATTGTCCAAATTGGACTTTGCACCCCGTTTTTAAAAAAATTTGTTTTTGAACCCAATTCCATATGAAAAGGCAAAAGTGTCCCTCAATTAGGAATATGTTGAACTTAATGGAGGGGCAGTTTGTCTTTTCATATGAGGTTGGGGTGCAAAAACAAATATTTTTAAAAATGAGATGCAATGTCCAATATGAACAATAAAATGGCGTGCAAACTGAAAAAATCACTTTCTATTTCTTGTGATGATTATTGGTCATACAGAGAAGTTTTGCTCTATGTTAATATGTTATTATTAGCGGCACAGTTGGAGGGGGAAACCTTACGGGCCATGGCTCAGGGCTACACGAGAAAGACCTTTGAAAAGATAGGGAGAAGAATCACACGGGACCAAGTCAAGAAATGGAGGAGGATAGCGGGACATGGACAAAACTAGTGTTTGAAATGAGGACAAATTTACAAGAAGTGCAGACGTCTAGAAGTTGAGGAGGTAAGAGAAGGAAATGCAAGCATAGAAATTGACTCACCAGGGAGATATTTGGTGTTTTTTTATTTCTTATTTCAGCTCTGATTAGTAAGTTGTGAAATTGACTCACCAGGGAGATATTTGGTGTTTTTTTATTTCTTATTTCAGCTCTGATTAGTAAGTTGTTTTATTTGAGTTTATTACTTTTAAGGGAAAACTGTCAAATAGGTCCTCGAACTTTTTTAAAAAAGTCAATTAAGTCCTTCTGTAGGAGACTCTGTCCGGCCGTCGCGATTTGGGGCGGTTCCCGGTGAAATTTTTTGTTGAATTTTTTTGAGCATCTTACTCATCAAGTCTAGTTTACTCATACCAAATTTCAGCTAAAAATTCATTTGGGAACACATTCAAATTAATTCGAGAACGCAAAAATGCGCAGTTATCTTCAAGAATTAATTTGAATGTGTTCCCGATTGAATTTTTAGCTCAAATTTGGTATGAGTAAACTAGACTTGATGAATAAGATGCTCAAAAAATTTCATCAAAATATTTCACCGGGAACCGCCCCAAATCGCGACGGCCGGACAGAGTCCCCTATAAAAGGACTTAATTGACTTTTTTATGAAAATTCGAGGACCTATTTGACAGTTTTCCCTACTTTTAATAATGTTTGGGGTTGGTGAGGAGTTAGGTATATTGTCAGCATGTTTATCACCCCAATCACAAGTTTTTAGAATGCAAAAATTGTTTTTGTATTCAAAACTCTTAAATGGTTCAGCGAATTTGCGTCCATTTTGGATGGTGACCACTTTTATGTCTGATCACACAGCGAAATGATCCTCGAATTTTGAGTCTAAAGGGAATTTGGGTTTTTGTTTTGAGTTTGATTTACACTCATGATTATGATTCATTTTAAGATAAGCGATTTCCTTTCAAAAACCTAAAGTTTTCTTATCAAAGTTAATCCCCTTTAATGCTATGTATTTTATTCGTTCATTATACTCCGTATAAGTGAAGCCTACATTTGAAGTCACAAAAGTAAAATATGGGACTCTATTGCTGACATGACTCTTTTTTAACCTCACCTCTTTGCTAGATTCATTTCAGAGCCCCTTTGATAATTATGTTGATGGTTTTGCCGAGCCAAGGTAGACAGAAACCGAGTGAGAGTGGAAGAAATGCAAATTGTAGATTGAATAAGAAATTTGGCAACGTGACCATAAGCTCGATACTAGAGAATGTAATCATTTTCCACGAGTTAAAAGGTGATATTTATAATGTAAAAAGAAATATTTGGGCAACAAGTAAAATAAGTTAAATAACTAATTCTGTAAAGCTAATTGGTAAGAGAACAACCAATACAACAGGTCGATCGATACTGTTATACCGGCTTTTTTCATTTGTATACTGAAATGTGTAGATAAGGCACACGTGTAAGTTTACAATCTTCCTTTGCAATTGCCTGGGTGACGTGAGCCCTAGGACACCTGTCATGTAGTGACATAATTTTGAATGTTTATGAAATCCAAGTGTTGAAAACTCTTAGTTCACAATTATTGTGGATGATTACGTTAAATATTTTTTCATATTTTTTTTACAAAATGCTCGTATATTTTCAGGAATTAATCAATTCAGCCACTTCAGACAGAAATTGATAAATATTAATAGAATAAGTCAATTCAACCAATTTCAATGTTTACAAACGGGCTTTTATAGAAAATGAGGGATACGATATCATTATAAATAGGTTTGGGAAGATAAAATTTGGTAAATAACTGAAAACTAATTCAACAATCTGAGTCTAAATTCTAAATTACGTATCTGCTCATATTAAAAAGATGAAATATAAAAAATTACCCTAAATACTACTACCTCCGGTTTTTTTTAATCTTCACAGTTTGACTTTGTTGGAAAAATGTGTGAAAAATTGCATTAAATGACTATTTTGGGGCAATTTTTTTAGTGGGGTCCACTTCCGATTTGGGTCGGGTCAAAGTGGTTTCGGATTGTCCTTGCTTAGTACTACAATTCGATATATGGTACGCTCAAAACGGATAACGGGTGAATGAGAAATTGTTTTTCGAAGTTTACCCGTTAGAAGGGAAAAAGGATGAGTTTCTAGTGTGTTAATTTCCCACACCGGAAAACCCAAGAGATTTGCAACCCTTTATAAAGGGGCTCTCCCCTTAAGGAGTTATCCAAAAATCCATCTCTCAAGAAAAATCGTGACCTGCGTGCACAGTTGACAGAAGTGCCTAGCGGCAGAAGACATCGGTCTCTGGTGGCACCAGAACACGTCGGTCTCTGATGGCCTCGATCAGAATACCTCACATGGGTATTCTGGTGGCACCAGAACACCTCGTAGAGTTCTGGTGGCACTTCTGAACCCGTTACAGCAATAAATGCCCAACGTTTATATCTTTTAATGCTGCGTTAAATGGACAGTTCATGGACGATTCAATGCCCAACGGACTGGTCATTGATGTCCAACGTTCAGGTCCATTAATTCACCATTTACACACAACAAATCCTCCTATATAATGGCTGACAGGTGGTTTGCAACAACACACGTTCTTACACGAGTTCATACACTCCAAGCGCCTTTTGCACCCCTAAAAACACACTGCTAGCATTCTGAAAAATTTATCTGTGTTCATACTGTGTTCTCGTTCGCTGGAACTTTTGTTTGTGTGCTCAAACATTAGTTCGTAGTCATCGTATCCTGGGAACGATTGTTGCAACGCTCCTAGCACCGTGGGAGGCAACAAATACGTTTTAAGGAAATCGTGCGTAGCACGAGCTTTGACTAATTCTGCTTCATCTCCTTTCTTGTTTTTCTCTTGTCATTTTACTTAATTAACTTATTTTAATTAATTTTCTTTATTTTCCGAAACACACCCAACAGACTTCACACAAAATAAGGAAAGAAATTTGAATTTACTGTAGAGTACACTGTTGAGGCACTGTTTGACACTGTTTGGCATTGTAGAGACACTGTTTGGCACTGTTGAGACACTGTTTAGCACTGTTTGGCACTGTTTTGATGTAATTTCTTTGCCAAAAAAGGAAATAAGGAAGTGTGAAGTTTATTTTAGACCGTCCCAAAAAGGAAAGTGTGAATTTTATTAAAAACCGGAGGGAGTATAAATAGGTCAAAAAACGTTTGTATTTTTTAAAAAGGAGTATCATGTTTTTATTTCTTAAATAATATGAAGTAGTAATTACTGTCATATTTTGATAGTATCAAACTTTAAACGTGAAATATTTTTCAAACGTATAAATAATTATTCTGGTTTAAAGAATAAAAACATGACAGACATATTTTAGAATTATAAACATACTAGTTTAGCAACGCGCGATGCGCGTTCGTGTAAATGCCCAAGACCATTGTAAGTACATTAATTGATGAGGGTAGGTTGAGTGAATATCCAAGTAGTATTAGTAAACTATTTGTAATTTTTTGTTTGTTTGTAGGCCACAAGAGTTATTCATTGACTTAAGTTTACCAAATCAAATGGACAACAAAAACAGACACACCAGACTCCAAACAAGTAGAAATGATAGGAAATAAAAACCAGACTCGACAACTTTGTACTTAAGAAGAGAGTTGATAACAACTTGATTCTCGCTCCAACAACACACCAGACTCCAAACAAGTAGAAATGATAGGAAATAAAAACCAGACTCAACAACTTAGTACTTAAGAAGAGAGTTGATAACAACTTGATTCTCGCTCCAACAACATAGAAGGGTGGACCTGGGATACCCACATCCGCAACTTCCAATGCTAGTGAACCCACAGTACATTATTGATCCTCCCTTTCCAAGAACGTAATAGCTCTTCTCCCCATAGACATGTCCATTCACATCAATATTGAAAACTGAGTCAAGCTTCTCTCCAAGGGCATCACTATGCAAAGCAACATAGAACTCAGCAGGTCGGAAGCAGGCCAACACCCTCTGGTCCCTCTCGGTGAGATCACCCAACTTGACAACATCTTTGAAGTCGTAACCCATCACTTCAAAAACTTGCATAGCTGAATCCACAAGGGTTAAAATTAAAGTTGCGTATATCCGATCCAGGGAGAATCTTCCGGAATCAGGATGTTCCAATCATAACGATAGCATAGTTTGTTTGTGTCCTGAAAAACACAGATGAACTCTTCTTGTTCAGCCCAGTCATGCACACCTCCAAAGTATAGACTGGCATACATATAGTATGTTAGAAACTGATAAAGTAACTTGAGGAATAAAATATTTGTAGCCTAGATTTATGTGTGGAAATAAAGCAACCAAGATCATTATAATAACCATAATAATAGGATAAGATTCATTGAAGTTCATTTACTATTGAACAAAAGGAAGACAAATATCAAAAGTATTTGAGGCCAAATTTCCTAATTTTTTTCTTTGAAATTTATTAGGTTAAAACATCCAAATATTTATATTCTTAATTCGATATTTGATTGAGTCACATGTTGGCATATCATCTCGTGGAGTTGAGTATGATTTTATCTGATAAAACAAACATAGCAAAAAACACTACTATTTTAAGTTTTACCCATGCTGAGCCTTTAGGTCAATGTGTTCTTTTTATTGAGTCACCTAAACGGACGTATTAGCTAATGTGTTTGAAGTACATAGTAAGACCTCAGTCTGACAAGTAATAAGGAGAAAAGTTAGAAGGATAGCCACCTTAATAGTGATGGAAAGAATGACATTTTCAACAATTTTCCTTTTCACCCTTCTTGCTAGCCAAGGTCATTTGAAATGAGGATGATATTCTCGTTTCCATGGCAAGTGCCGAACCAGAAACACCCATTGAGATGCCAACATCGGCAGTAGGTAATGCAGGAGGATCATTTAGACCACCACCTGTCATTCCTGCTCGTGCTTCCTTTTAAAATTCTATGATGAAATTCCCCTTGCCCTCCGGAAGGAGTTCTGCATGAAAAATCCTCCAAAGCACCAACTAACTGAAAATAGTTTATAAGCTTGATTAATATACATGTAAACAAATTTCATCTTCAGCTTTTTAAGTGGTGACCATGCATTTACACTTAAAAATGATTTTCAAGTCATGTCCATTTAGGTGACTCGATGATCTCAATGATTGAGTCACCACCTAACTAATACGAAGTATGTCTTACCGAGAAGAAGAAAAAATGATCTCAATGATTTTTGTCAAGGCTCTTTGAAGTTAGTCACAGATGTCATAGTATTTTCAATTTGATTTTGACGCTAATCAGATTCAGCATTAAGGTTCAAGAATATTCTTTAAAGGGATAAGGGTCAGATAGGGCCTCGAACTCGAAAAAAAATGTCAAATAAGGTCATATTTCGGATGCTCTGTCTGGCCGACGCCATTTGGGGCGGTTCCCGATGGAATTTTTTGATGAAATTTTTTGAGCATCTTCCTCATTAAGTCTAGTTTACCCATACCAAATTTTAGCTAAAAATTCAACCGGGAAGGTAGTCAAATAATTTTCCGAAATGTACGGCGTTGTTTAACTTCACAGTTATCTTCAAAAATTCATTTGACTACCTTCCCGGTTGAGTTTTTAGCTGAAATTTGGTATAGGTAAACTAGACTTAATGAGGAAGATGCTAAAAAAATTTCATCAAAAAATTCCATCGGGAACCGCCCCAAATAGCGCCGGCCAGACAGAGCATCCGAAATATGACCTTATTTGACATTTTTTTTCGAGTTCGAGGCCCTATCTGACCCTTATCCCTTCTTTAAATGAACGCCTCAAGTGATGATTTGTTAATCTAGAAAAAGAAGCTCCTATACACGGAAGTCAGGCTAATTTTTTGGAAAACAAAATTCTATATTTGAGCATCAATGAAGTCAAACCAAATTATGGGGGGTTACCTGCTCTTGTACATGGCTAACCGCATAATAGCAGTCTCCAGTGAGCATTACTGCTTTGACACCTAATAATCAAAGCTCTACAAGTGATTCCTTTGCCCCTGTTCGGCAAATATCAGCCAGACTGAAGAGTCCAACTAAAGAAGACCCCGAGAAGATGTAGCTAACGGTCTTCCCTTCATAACCATCACCTTCCAACTCCGCAACTGTTCTCAAAAGTTTGAAGTATGATTTTATCTGAGAAAACAAACATAGCAAAAAAAAACTTCTACTTTAAGTTTTACCATGCTAAGACTTTATCATTAGGGCAACATGTTTTTTTAGTGACCTAAACAGACATATTAGCTATTGTACTTGAAGTACATAGTAAGACCTCAGTCTGAGAAGTAATAAGGAGAAAAAATAGATGGTACTTATCATTCGACTACCACACACATTTGGTTAAAACAAATCCCATACAAAACTCTAGAGAAGTTTGCTGAAATAGAGAGAGAAGGAAAAAAACTCAAGGATCACATAAATATTTCAGGCCTAAGCACCACCCCAACTAATGAGAACGCAAAGGAGACAAATTGGTGCAAAACATATATAGGGAACCCGCTGCAATCACCAAAGAGATGGATTGAACTGAAGCAACATGAAGGGCTTGAGTATTACATGTTGCACAGTTGCAGTATGCTTAAAAGGACAAAAACAAGTCATTCTCCACTTGCAATAATATGCTTAGGGCAACATGTTCAAAAGAGTACTTTAACAAAGCAGCTAAAAACTTCAAAAGACAAACATGTCATGCATTGGATGTAAACAACCATATAGTGATATTACCAGAATAGTTTGTAACTCTATATTGAGAGCCACTTTAGTGATCCCTCTTATAATTACTCAAGAGGTATACCTAACATTTTCAGCATGTAAATCATTAAAGCCTAAAAATATAGTATGTTATTAATATCAGAGTCTACAAGGACAATAATAATTAATCTGTTCCTGGGACACTATATGTAAATAGGTATAAACATTCTTTAAAAAAAAACGCAGTTACATTTTCCTATATGATGTCACAAAAATAAAGCTAATCATATTGCAAAGCATAAGCATGCCCACAGGTGATATCCTGAGAAGAGATGTAGGCAAAGCGTCGTTAGTTGTGAGAAGATTATCTCCAAATTAAAATGGTGAAATTAAATATACTAAATTGAAATATTGAATGTATTACTTACCCTGTAGCATCCAGAAACAGAAACAACTTCTAGCAACCACCCAAGTCTTTAATTAATTTTCTCTCTTCTAACCTGAACCACATAGCAGTCAGCAAATTAAACACATGATATTTACCTCTCATGTGAAGATTAAAAACCTCATGTTACAAATTAAGCTAAAAAATTAGGTTCTTATAGAATTAATGAAATAGGACTAAAATATTATATGATTCTTCAAATAGGAATAATATCCTATAATGCCTATTAAATTTACAGGTGACTAATGTTTATATATTAATTGAAATTTCCTTCAAAGAAAAATCATATCAATCAAACATTAGGTGTGTGCAATTAAATCAATAAACTACTCCGTATCAAAGAAAATAGATAGATAGATCAAAGAAAACCAGAAAACAAACAAAACCAGCTAATTCATCCATTAATGTAAAATGTCAAATGCTCAACCCATCGGTCAAAAGTCGAAGCACTAACAACCGTAAGTAGAGGTATAATGAAGAATAACCAAATGCAGGATTTTTTTTGAATGAAAAATGAGAATTGAATTCAAAATCAGAAAGAAATTCAAACTCAAAATATGAAAAAGACCAAGTAAATCCAAAGTTGTAATTGAAAAAGCAATAAATATTACCTTAGCCAAATCACTTTCCACCGCCATTGAGGTTGGCCGGTGCGGGCAAACTGGTGTGAGCGTGGATCTGAAGAATCAATTGAATTGAATCCGTTTGAGAGGTAGAAGAAAATAATTAAAATAGACCGAAATAGGAAACTTGGAAGAAGAACACAATCTTCCATAGGAGCAGGAGAGGTTTCTCCGTGGCAGTTGATTTGGAGCGGGCATCGGGCCAAAGAAGGGAAGAGGAGCTGAGGTGAGAAATTGGAGCGTGAAAAATTGGGGGTAGAATAAAGCTATGAGACGAAGAGAAGCGGGCGATTAATTTGGGAGAGTAGGTAGGTTTGACGGCAAAGCCAACGGCAAAGCTAACCCCGTCCTCAGGCCCGCGATTAAAGCTTCATCTGAATATGCCTTTCGTACAATCCGCTAATGCACACGGAGCCACCAACATTTTTTTGAAGACTGTTATGTCCCTAACAATATTCATGCTTATATAATTGTAGAGATAGAGATTTACTAATTTTTCCATAAAACATTAATAATTAAAATGTTTTTATGACAAACCATTATCCAAACCAACCGTCATGCTCTTGACCCCTGATCCACAACTACGCGTACCAAAGCGAGCTTGGACAAGAAAGGATCGTCGGTAAACGCCGCAATGGCCGTCTTAACGACCTCGCCAATCGGAAGTTTCTCAGCTCTACATACCTTCACCGTAAGAGTAACTCTATTTCCGAGCTCTCATATACCTTCTCTCTTAGTTATGGAGATTTGGAGACTGAGTTCGTTTCTGATTATTGTAATGCAGAAATCCGGTGCTACGATAGAAAACCCGGGATTTCGTCTCAGTAATTTTGCGGTTCAATCGCAGGTGAATTGCTTCCGTTTCTGAAGTTTTTGCTTTTCTATAATTGAGAAATTTGTTTTACACTTCTGACAATCAGAAAGGTTCCAAATCGCAAAGTGAAGGTCGAGGCCGTAGAGTCTGGACTCTGGAGACGAAAAAAATTGGTAAGAAAACGCTGATTTTTTATGTGGTTAATCAGTGACTGTACTGGATTATTTTAAGGTCGCACAACTAGGAAGAAAGAAAACAGGTTTTGAGAAATAAGAAGTTAATCAGTGCTTGCATTTTCTGAGATCAATTTGTGCATATATATCTTAACTAGAGAAAGAATTTAAGAACTGTAAGAAAGGGTATGTTTGGACTCTGGGAAATGCCAGTGAAGTAACAAATGCTGACAAAATTTATTTTCTAGTACGGAATATTTAGGTTTTACCTTTAAAAATGAAAAATGCAAAGATAATTATGTTTTCTTACATATATTTAGCTTTTAGAAAAATGAATGAATAAATGAGTTTGAAGAAACATCTAAAACAAATTTATTATGTTGGTTATTTCATTATATAAAGACTATCAAATCCTAATCTATGTAAAAAAACAATAATTATCATATTCCATTTCATGCAGTTTCAATGTTAAAAGCAAAGAAATTAACTTTAGCATTTCATTCAGTTTCCTTATTCTTTTTCAATCCAAGCATACCTTAAGGGTATGTCTGGATCCCTGAAAGTTCTACAGAAATGAAAAAAATGTTAAGGAAAGCTATTGTATTATGCTTCTCTTTTCATCACATTGCATTTCCCTTTGCAAAGTAAAGAGAAACATGATAACATGCAATAGCTCCAGGGTATGTTTGGATAATTGGATACCTGAATCCCATGTTGGTTGTCAAAATCAGACAAAGAAGGATGACGAGACGAAATACAGATTGGAAGAAGTACCTTTCTTGGAAGAGCATATGAGGAAGATAAAAGAAGATGGGGGTTTGCTGGCGATGGACATTGACCGGCTATTACTGTCCGAGGAAAACCGGTTTGCTTTTGTTAATGAGATCGCTGCAGAGGCCAAAGAATATGTGGAGAATAACCGGGATGAGTACGGCGGCTCAAAGAAAGCCATCCTTCATGTTATCTCTAACCGCATGAATGAGGCTGGGTTTGATCGCCCGGAGGCGTATATAGAACCTGACCCTTTCAAGCCCGGTCCAAGTTTTTTGAGGGATGACCTTTAGTTCTTCATCTTCATCACCTTAACGGGGTAACTCAAGAGCTTGTACTCTGCTAGTGAGTACACCTGCAGAGTTTCTCGTGTCCCAAATTGCAATTTTACATCATTTTACATCATGAATGCACACTTCAAGTGTCATCTCTTGTCCGCCCGAGTACCTCATTTCCTTTTAAATAAAGCAATATGCAATTTGAGGAAGCGGTCTAGCTCATCTGATCGTCAATAGGGGTGGACTGGACCAGTTTGGCTCGATCCGGGACCCGGCCCGTCAGTGTGCTGGACCGACCCGGCCTACCAGGACCGGGACCGGGACTGGGGCCCGAACCGGGGCATTAATGTGGCGGGCTACATGCTTGCTAAGTGATGGTCCGGCCCGAGCCCGAATAATTTTTAAATTTTTTCGGGTTGGACAGTCTGCTAGGTGGGTGGGGGTTGGGCGGTTTGGGGGGTTTGGAGGTGGGGGGTTGGAATTAATTTGAAAAGACACAAAAAAAAATTATTTCATACCCAGCCCGGTTCCGGACCTCCGGTTCTAACCCGGGCCAGTACCGAGCTTGAATAATTTTGACTCGGAGCCCGCTCCAGCCCGGCCCAGAGCCTGGCCCGACCCAGGCCCGCTCCACCCCTACTCGTCGACTTACTCTCTCTTATGGGAGGTCCCGAGTTCAATACTCATGTTTAATCCCATTTTACCCCAAAGTCCAAAACCCCCAAGCTCACAACCTCATGGGGCAAACAAATAAACTATGGGTATGTTTGGCACAACTAACTAAAAAGATATTTTTACGAGCTTTTTAGTAACTGTTAACTTTTAGTGACTGAAAAGATCTTAAAAAGAAAAGGTGATAGCTGTTTGGTAAAAAAACTGACTGTTTGATTTAGTTCGGTTTGGTATACAAGCTATTAGGACTAATTAATACTAAAAGGCACGAGTTTTTCTCAGATGCTACACCTGGTAGCATCTCAAAAAAGATCTTTTAATTTTTCAAAAATTCTAAAAAAATGTCATATCAAACATACACCTAGAGTCTTTTAAGGTCTTTTTAAAAAATAGAGAAGCTAGAAGCTAGAGCCTTTTGTGTATCAAACATACTCATGATGTTTCTTAAACATCATGCCCACTCAAAGTAAGGGGCTGTTTGTTTTTTTTCCATCAAGTCATGTCTGTATTATGTATTAAAAGTCTGTCTGGATTCAAGTACACTGTTATACCAATTTGTTTACTATGTTTGCTGAATGTGTAGTTTGAATTATATCAAATTACCAATTTACCCTCTATGTGTAACAAGTGTTGCACGTGTAAGATAGGTATCCACCATTCCATCTAAACAACATAGAAGATACAAGCAACTGGAACCTGTGAACTTTAACAAAGTACGAATTTTAATTTCTGTGTTTGTAATTCCCATAGACAAAAATTACAATCTTTTAGCTCTGTTTGTAATTCATAGAACTCATAGTTGCTCTCCACATGTAAGTACTCTCCGTTTCTAAATCTAATCCTTAAGCAAGTCAAATTTTCCTTTGAGAAATCTTAAACCACTTCATTTTAATTTCAAAATCAAAACACAGGGCATCTGATGCATCGTGGTCTTCAACGGCATAGCTAAAAAACGATTGTAATTTCACAATTGAAAAGTAAGATAACAGTATATGTATATATAGCGATTTTACCAGAAATTTGAAAGTAGATTATTAGGAAGAGAACAATCAGGTCAAGAATAAAGAGAAGAACTACAATTTAAAATAAAAATAAAAATATAAAACAGATATAAATTCAGATGGAATACGAAGATGAAAAAGATAGAGGATGAAATTCCTCTTCGCTGCTTTTGTGATGGCTCGTGGGCACTCCGATCAGGGAATTTAGCAGGGTTGTCGAGAGAATGGTGATGGGAGCAATACAATAAACGAATGAAAGCAGGGTTAAAAAAGATAATCTGCCCACACCTACACCTCTGTATCGGAACGAGTGTTAAAACTGAGCTGAGCGAATAAGTCGTGAAAGGTCTGCGCTAAGTCGTGAAAGGTCTGCGCGAATAAGTCAATCATTTTTAAAAAGTCCTAAGTAAACAACACCATATAGTTGAATGATTAATTCACAATATCCATCAAGTTCATTAAGTCACAAGTAAACAGGTGCTAAGACTTCACTTATACAAGGAGAGAGAGTATTATACTTGGTACGAACTACGAAGTACTTCATATATAGGATCTTGCAAACCAACGTCTGCCTTAAAAGCTCTGCATAGGCGTTGACCGTGCATACATACATGCGAGTGACGGATTGGCACCTAAATCTTCGGTGTTTGAGGTTATTCTTCAATTAAAATTATAAAAAAATAACATTATTTGATGAAATAATTCTAGATATACATCTTTACCACAATGAAATTACTGGTAATGAAGTTAAAATCAAGAAGTATTATTGTTGGGGAATTCCCGAAATAGGAGTACAAATATTTCGTAGTTCCAAACTAGAACTGTCGTGTTTTTAGCTCTTAAATACGATAGTATAAATAATTATTGTCAAGCTTAAAGATTACTGGTATGTTTAAAGTCTGAAAATGACAAAATACGACTCTAAATTACTCATTTAGAGAATAAAAATGTGAGAATCTTATTTTGAAATTCACAAACGTTTTTATTTCAATTGAGAGCAATTTCCCTTAAATTATCACATCAATTCTATACATGTATTTCCGGAGTTCTAATCTAAATATTTTGGTTTTCGCATGAACACTTCCAAACAAGCTGAACTCTGCCATTGCACACACATCACCCATAGGTAGACACATAAAAATTGACTAACGTCATTTCTTTCTCATTTCACTTCTAATTCACAATATCAACCGCAATATTTCAATCTAGATGCTGAAAAACTATAGGCTTTGTTTAAACATTTTCCAATTTATATGTTTGTTACTTGAACGATGTTGAGTGATGCTGTCGTTAAAATTTGACACATACGAACTACGAAGTATATTAGAATGATGGTGAATTATGTTTTTCTCTAGCAACTTCTATTTTTCAATACGAACTACACTTTGCACAGTTTCTAACATCAAGCATTCAGTCCATGTAAGTTAAGTGAACTATTGTTAAGGGAATAGCATATGTTTGGTCACCTGGTACGGTTTCAGATCTGGATTCTATAGTACCACTACTCATAGCCTTTCTTAGTAATATACTATTCGTGAATAATACAATAATACGTACATTCGTGTATAATACGACACAATTATATAAAATACGGCTTAATATATGTTTCATATGTTCGTGAAATATATAAAGATACGGACGCGTTTTAAACGTTTCACAATTTAAAAATACGGCATATAATATGTGTCTTATATACTAATTTAATGATAGAAATAAAAAGTTATTTAACATTTGAACCACATTCTTCAACAATTTAAAATGTACGGAATAATTTTTTTCATATATACGGATTTGAACACATAAGTACAATAAGTAATAAAAATGGCATTGCCTATTTGAGTAGAAGTAGAGAGATATTATTAGAGAATAATTGATATTACTATGACCGTGAGTTTCGTGAGCCGCCACAACATTTTACGATCTCTTTGGAGTCTTGGTATGTGTGGAGAACACTAGTAGTATTGAAAAGGATTACGAATTTAAGAAGCTAATTTATTAAATGTAATGACTATGAAACAATTAACGAACATATAAGGCATAATTTTTTTAAGCAATATAAATAATATTGAGCAGCTAAACATTTCGTTTCAGTTGTATCACTACATTAGGCTTCCGTTTAATGGTGCGTGTTTTTGAATAAAATATGTATCAATACATACAGTACGTGTATTATACATTTTATGCTTAAAATACGTGAGGTTTCCAGAATTTTCTGAAGAATTCATAAACAAGAGTATTATACGGGAATAAAATACGTATCAATACGTACTATACGTGTATTATACATTTTATTCTTAAAGTACGCGAATTTTTCCGAATTTTTTGAAAAATTCATAAACGGGAGTATTATACGCGAATTATACGTTTGAGTGTATTATACGCGAATTATACGCGAATAAACTAACAGAGCTCATAGCAAGACTAGGCATGGACTCGGTCCGGGCCTAGGCCCGGTCGGGCTTTTGAGGTTGGGGGGAAGGCCTCGGGCCGGTTTATAATTTTTTTTTGCTTTCCTAACTACCCCTAAAACACCCAGCCCAACCCGGGGGAAACAAAAAAAAATCTGAAAAACCCAAAAAAAAACATTTTGGCCCGAACCAATCCCGGTCGGGCCGGGTCGTCATTTGTACAGCCCGAGCCCGCCCCCGCTACTCCCTAGGTTCCGGGTCAAAAACCGGTTTCGGGCCCGAAGCACCAGGCCGGGCCCGCAAAGTAGCGGGCAGGCCGGTTCCCGGGTAGGGTGGCCCGAAGGCCCCGAACCGAGTCCAAGCCTAAGCAGGACTGAACCAGCACCTGGAAGGCAGATGGGCGAGACCTAGAATAATAAGAGGAGGTACACCAACAAGTCAACAACCGACATAGCGTACTAATGTGCAAGTGCCACGTGGACTTGCGAGAGCGACATTGATTCACGAGAGAATGTGCACCTTCATCTCTTAGACCCTGCTATTCGGGAGGAGAAATAAGCATTGGAGACTTGGAGTAATGAGGAAAAGCCACAGCTGCCTGAAAATTAGATGTATCCAGCTATGACCTATATTTAAATAACATCTTTATCTTCCAAAGAAAATGTTGGCAATTGTGTTCAGAACAATATACCAATGTCTTGCCCATTGTTGTGTGGCAGAATAGTAAGGCTTGTAAAGTGATTGCCATCACCTCTTATATTTCTTTGGGGACCCTTCATAGTTCATATTAGGGGATTAATATTATTCCTATCCCCCCCAACCTTCCTCATATTCCCTATATTCTAAAAGCAGCCCTTCGAAGAACAAATGCCCAGTTCTTCGGCCAACAGAGTATCTATCACGGACTATGGCACTGACCTCAACACGACAACAGAGTTTCCACAAGAGCACAGTCAAAGACTCAAAATGGGTATCACAAAATCATTTCCATGGTATGGAGTAATTGCTGGACGTGTTCAGCTAGTGCCAAATTAGCTTTGGGTGTTCATATAGCACTATAATAAATCTTCCGTAACAATGTTAGTTTCAAAGTCAAAGTGAGAAGCAGCAGAAATACAAAGGGACACACTACGTGACTGCTTGCTACAGAGCAATGTAGATAAGAGAGCATCATGTATATGTACATTGATTTTAAAAAAACTACAAACAATGATCAGTGAGTGATGCAGGGGAAAAAGTGCATTCACTCGGTAGCAGCACACAGCCATGGCCACTTAAATTCACAAAGATCACCGGCCCTGTTTTCTTCGTTATCTTTCATACCTATGTCAGCATTATTCTCCACAAGCAATTCTGCAATATCTTTTCTCTCACATACTGCAGCGTAATGTAATGGCCCCTGACCTTCATTATCCTACAATTAAAAAAAACATAAAGGATTGTCAACACTCTTAACATTAGAAATCCATGCAAAAGAGCATACTTCGAAGTTTAACCCTGGATTCCTCTAACATACGCTCAATTGGTGATATGAAGTACCGAAAAAACAAATAGTTGAGACATGAGACTAGTACATTAGAAAGTCTTTACTGAGTAACTCTTTGAAAATAATCACAAATAAAGCAATAATACCCACAAGCAAATTAAACATGATGATGCACTATGTTAGACTAACAAATAAATTTTGAAATACAGAAAGTTTTATAGGTTTCTAATGGTTATATACCATTAGGCCGTACCTTGACAAAATATAGTTATTATTTGTTTGGGAAGGAATAGTCTTTTTTGTTTGACATTGAGAACATTTGAAAATCATTGGTGTTAGGCTGTTAGAATTTTTCCCTAACAAAAACCTTTCCTTTTTTATTTCGTAACCAAGCCCTAAGGAATGTGGTTAACCTCACCCATTGTATGTGGTTGACATTTTGTAAGAAGGAACCATTCAAATCGTTTAAGAGTAACATAGAGGAGAACCACATCTTACCTTTTCATTTACATTCGCATTCTTGCTTAGAAGCACTTTGGTGGTATTCAGATGGCCGCGATCTACAGCCCAGTGTAATGGAGTCCGACCCTCACTGTCTGAAATTGTTCCAAGACAAAACATATAACTTGCCATTAGTCTAAGTGGTCCGATTTGCAACCCAACCCCTCTCTGTTTTGGGAGAAAATAATCCTTAGTGGCAATTGATATTTTTGCAAAAATATGCAACAGCAAACCACTACTGCAATGGCTGATATCAGTAAGTATGATCAGGAAGTAAGTATGCTAACACAATACTAAGATTTCTTGAGATCCAATAGAAAATCATAAATGGATTGAGCAGCTACTAAGTACTAACCCTTCAAATCCACAGGAACACCACTCTCAATACACTTGATCAAGTTGTTATCGTCTCCTTCTCTAGCAAAGGCATGTATATCAGCCATTTTACTGCACAAAAAAGAAGATATTCTTACTCACTCATGGAAAAAACAGATAATCATCACTACTATTTTATTATATGAGAAAACCAGGTAATCATCGTTCACATTTTATCAAACCACTGCAAACAAAAGTTCTTGTTTCATTTTCAGCAAAATTGGCATGGGTGAATTTGGCTGAAATTATGTCTGGTATTCGTTAAGTTGCTGAAATTGCAGAACACTGAATAAATAATTTGGAAATCTATTATTGAAGAAATAAATAACATATATATGGAAAATGCTAAAATGACCATCTTAAGCAATTTCAGCAACTTCGGGCAAAAAAGGCCGACAACTCTACTTTTTCTTTAATAGTAAATTCAGTGCTCACAACGAAATAAGTCAAATAAACTAGTGTTTGGTAAATAATCTAGCCATAACTCTGATAGACTGATAAGCCTAAGAGGTGGCTTCAAAATGGTTACTTAGACTTCTAGGCTTCAAGAGGGTTAACTTTTTGAAAGCTCTCATATCTAACTCAAATTTTTTCTATTGTTTTTCCAAAAACTTACAATTCATTTCCAGGTTCCTCTTCATAAATAAAGGTGCTGAGCACAGGTCCCATCGAAGCCTTAGAATCTCCACCAGTGCTCACAACGAAATAAGTCAAATAAACTAGTGTTTGGTAAATAATCTAGCCATAACTCTGATAGACTGATAAGCCTAAGAGGTGGCTTCAAAATGGTTACTTAGACTTCTAGGCTTCAAGAGGGTTAACTTTTTGAAAGCTCTCATATCTTACTCAAATTTTTTCTATTGTTTTTCCAAAAACTTACAATTCATTTCCAGGTTCCTCTTCATAAATAAAGGTGCTGAGCACAGGTCCCATCGAAGCCTTAGAATCTCCACCAGATGCACTACCACTTTCTTCCCTATTGTTCTTCTGTCAAGTGTCAATCCTTTTTATAATACAGAAGAATAGCAGTAGAAGATAAACAGACCAAGGATAAAAGCACAGAGTCAAATAAAAAAATGAAATAAAAATGCAAAAGTTAAGTGCAACTATACTGCTACAAAATAAAAGTGTTTCCCTTACAGTTGATGAACCAGAAACCCAATCAGGATATAACCCAGTGATGATGTCAATATAATTCTGCATGGCTTCTTCTGGAGGCATTGCACCCAATTTTTGCCATGCTTGCCTAGCATATCATTACACAACGCTTTCAGCTTGCAAACTATGAGTTGAATGAAAATACTTTATCAAAGAAGAAAATAGAGCAATAATTATTCTTGCAAAAACTGAAGTTACTCTTTTATCTTCTTTATCTTTCTATGTTCTTGTGTTATTTTTCTTAGGGAAAACTGTCAAATAGGTCCTCGAACTTTCATAAAAAGGTCAATTAAGTCCTTTTATAGGAGATTTTGTCCGGCCGTCGCGATTTGGGGCAGTTCCCGGTGGATTTTTTTGATGAAATGTTTTGAGCATCTTATTCACCAAGTCTAGTTTACTCATACCAAATTTCAGCTAAAAATTCAATCGGGAACACATTCAAATTAATTCTTGAAGATAACTGCGCATTTTTGCGTTCTCGAATTAATTTGAATGCGTTCTCGATTAAATTTTTAGCTGAAATTTGGTATGAGTAAACTAGACTTGATGAATAAGATGCTCAAAAATTTTCATCAAAAAATTCCACCGGGAACCGCCCCAAATCGCGACGACCGGACAGAGTCTCCTATAGAAGGACTTAATTGACTTTTTTATGAAAGTTCGAGGACCTATTTGACAGTTTTCCCTTTTTCTTATGTTTCTTCTCTTTATGGCTTTGTTATCATGGATCGATTCATGTTAGCCGACTCTAAAATCTTTTGGGAACAAGGCTTTTGTTGTTGTTGTTGTTGTAGTACCAGTGTACCACATCTACCATTAACACACTTGCAGTTGTGTTTGGAGAAATTGTCATTTACATAAATATACAACGGCCCAAGTCAGCAAAGGTAAATCCTGTAGGAAATTTTGTGTTCCTGACTTCATGTCGGGAAAACTGAACATAGATGTCTAAGATGAGCTTTACCATTTCTGTAGACTCATTTTTTACTACCCGATCAGATTGATGTGTTTTTGCATTCTTTCAAATTACAAAGATCACTTAGCTCATTAACTTTTGCTTCTTACCAAAATCTGCACCTCACGATTAAAAAAGCTCCAAATAGTATTAAAAACAAAGTAAATTACCATTTGGCACGAGCAGTCATTTTCAGAGCTGAAGGCTGGGGAGAGCTGCAAGGCCCCTCGGTGGCAATCTTGTAGAGTCCATAGAGCTGCAGCTGAACCTCATTCGAAACCTTCACAGACTGCCGATCAGCCGCAGTGGCAGCCACAAAAGCAGTCGCAGCACTGAACACCTCATCCAACTCGGTACTCTCAACTCCTTCCCAGTCATCGTCATCGCTATAGTCACTGTAGACCGAGGACTTGACATCCTCCCCTTGAATCAGCGGCTCCTTCTCTTTCAAAGTCTCTTCACCCAATAGGTCTGCATCCTTTGCAGCCTTCGACTGAGCGTCGGCCGCCTTAGGATCATCATCCACCGACTCACTCCGAGAAATCCGGAGATTCTCATCGCGGAAGGCAAAGATAACAGAGAAGAGCTTGGCAAGAAGGAAAGAGAAGATTAAGCCGAAGACCACCGGTTGTACGAATTCTTGCCAGTCAGACATTTTAAGATCGCAAATTTGTGGAGCAATAAACCTAATGATCTTACGAAATCTGTGAGAGAATCTAATCTTAAACCATAGAGAAAGATATACGACAGTCAACAGCGGGAGAGGGAGGGAGGGAGAGACCGCGGGCGACGGCGTCGCTGCTGTAATAAATTCGCCACAGGCGAAGGTTTTGATATGCTGCAGCCTGCAGCCGTTATCCTCCAGGTCGCTAGCTACAGTTTAAGGCTTCGTTTGGTTAGCCGGTTTTGGAGGATATGAGATCCAAGTGTGTATGTAATCAAAGTACTCGTAATTATTTTAGACAAAATTATTTTAGACTAAATACGTTTTTAGTCCCTGCAAATATGACACAATTTGTTTTAAGTTCTTGCAAAATATTTTTCTTGTTTTTCATCCCTGCAATATGCACTATTTTGTTTTTAGTCCATCTCCGATTATGAAACTACTCTACTTACAAAAAAGTTATTGTGAGTTGCATAAATCTACTAGAAATAGGCATGGACCCGGTTCGGGCCGCCCGGCCCGGGACCGGCCCGGCCCGCCACTGTGCGAGCCCGGAACCGGCCCGGTTCTCGGGTCCGGGTCGGGCCTAGGCCCGGTGGGGTGACCGGGTCCGGGCTCGGGCCTTGAATTTGGCGAACCGGCCCGGCCGGGTCGGGCCCGGGCCGAATTGATTTTTTTTTAATTTTTTTTTCTTTTTTTGGGGTTAGCCAAGTTGGGCTTGATGGTTAGGAGGGGTTTGGGGGTTTGGGGGGGTGTGGGGGTGAGTGGGGGGGTTAGGAAAGCAAAAAAAAAAAAAAAAATTATAACCGAACCGGAGGCCCGGCCCGGCCCGGCCCGGACCCGGACCGGACCCGGTGGCTACCCGGGCCGGTCCCGGGCCTTCCTTCCCAAAAAAAAAGCCCGGCCGGGCCCGGCCCGGAACCGGAACCGGCCCGGCCCGGGTCCATGACTAACTAGAAATATTTAAATTTGTCCTTTTATAAATTTTTGAGGTAAATATGAGAGATAAATCGATTTAAAATTCAGTATTCACATTTTAAAAATATATATTAAAAGCCTTCGTAAAATAAATTAAATACTTTTTCAATAGCACGACAAAGAATTAAAAAAAACCATTAATCGGGGTTATTTCGAGGTCAAACGGAGGTAGTTATCTTGAGTGATGGACTAAAAAGAAAACCAACATAAATTGCAGGGGCGAAAAACAAAAAATGATTTTGCAGGGATGTAAAACAAAATGCACTATATTTGCAGGGACTAAAAATATATTTAAACCTTCTTTTAAACAAAATACTACCTCCGTCTCAAAATGGGTGTCACATACTTTTTGGGCTCAAAGATTAAGGAAGTAGTTGAAAATATAAAAATTGTGGTTGATATTTGAGTATAATAAAGTGAAATGATGTGGACCACATGTTTCTTTTCAAAAAGGGAAACATGACCATCATTTTGGGATAGCCCGAAAAGGAAATACGGGACTATCATTTTGGGACGGAGGGAGTAATTTTTATCGAGAGCGTTTATAAAAATATTTGCACTAACAATAATGTTGATAAGAATATATTGTAGTCAATTCAAACTGATTCTCATTTAATATCATCAATCTCTACCCCCACTTTCCGCTTCACCATTCTTCGTTTCGGTCAACACTTTTATAGGTTTTTTCACTTTTAGTCTTCTGACTATTATTTCATCGACACTTGTGGTACTTGACTTTAATTTCTTTCACTTTTAGTCCTTCGATTATTGTGCAAAAGATAATTTCGGTACCCATCTTTCAAGATTTCCATATTTGTCATTTGACTTTCATAAAAATGACACATTTAGATCTCCGATTATTATGATAGTGACATTTTTATCCTTCAATTATTGTGTCAAATCGTAGTGGAAAGATTAAAAACATCAATTTGATAATATTCAGAGACTAAATGTGGAAAATTTTGAAGTTGATGTCCAAAGTTTCTCTGGCACAATAGTCGAGTACTAAAAATGAAAAAATTTAAAGTCGAATAACGAATACGTCACTGACATAGTAGTTGTGGGACCGAATATAGCAAAAATGGTGTTGAGATTAAACTGGTTTTAGTTTGCATTTGCTTCGGGAATAAGAGTGGAGTTAGAAAAGTGAAAGTAAAGATTTAGATTATTAAGTGGACATTAATTTGAATTCACCCCAATTTGATCTTATGAACACTATTGTTAGTTCGAGTTATTTTTGTGAGTGATCTGAATATGGATTATTGTTGCAGAATCCTTTAAAGTAAGCATTATTGTTGTGAATTTCACCTTCTTTTTATTGTATGCTCCTACATATCAAGTCATTTACAATGGTGAATCATACTACTTCAAAGTTCATTATGTGCAGTTATCTTCAAGAATTAATTTGAATGTGTTCTCGATTGAAGTTTTAGCTGAAATTTGGTATGAGTAAACTAGACTTGATGAATAAGATGTTCAAAACAATTCATCAAAAAATTCCACCGAGAACCGCCCCAAATAGCGACGGCCGGACAGAGCCTTCTATATGAGAACTTATTTGACTTTTTTTATGAAAGTTCGAGGACCTATTTGACAGTTTTCCCTAAAAGCATATGAATTATGTAATACTCCGTAATAGTTTTATGTAATTAATACAGTCAAAACAATTTATAACGACACGTTAAGAGCCTATTTGATGAATCTTTTCCGACTTATGAGACTTATCAGCCATTTTTTCACAAAATAAATATAAGGAACATTGTAACAAATGGTTGGAAGATGTGCATCTAACTAGTAAAAATTGGGTTCAACCATGTCTACATAAATCTTATACAACATATCAAACACGCATCCTACATTTTGATAATCTCTCAAGTCTCAACATCATTAGACAATGCATAGCTATCACTAATACGTATTATATGATGTGAAGCTCACAACATCATTATACTGTGTGTTTGTATTGTAGGTTACAAAAGAAGGATATTCCTTGATTCCTAAGAATCATAAAAAAACTGCGGAGTAACAATTAAGCCATGGCGGATTTGTCATGTTCGTGTGAATATCTAAATTTTGAAACTAAAATGTAAAAAAAGGATGTATAATTTGTCTATTGAGTACTATTTGTATAATATTTCTTACTTTTAATTCTGTACATTAATTTTTGTAGTTAAAAATTGATTATTATTCCATTTTGTAGGAATCAATATTATTATACAATAATATTATAGCAGCGAAGTAATTAATTTCAGTACTCCCTCAGTTTCGCAATCACAATCACACTTTCTTTTTTTTGAATATGCCAAAATAAAAGTCACACTTCTCATTACTTCCCATTTAGGAAAGAAACTTATATCAATACAATGCAAAACAATGTCAAAACAATGTACTCTACAGTAAAACTCATCTCTCACTAATTTTTTCCCTTAATCTTTGTGAAATCAAAGTGTGACTTTGATTGTGAAACGGAAGGAGCAGTAGATAATAACTAACATTTCACAATGAACTTTATGGAGCAATAGTCAACTATCCTGTGTGTTGCACGGATGACGAATGAATTAACGGTGGGTTAGTAATTCCGGTTTTGAGCTTATCAATCTTATCAACCATTCTATTACATAAAATACGTAAAATTTTGATTCCGTGCACCGTGCACTGAATGATATAATAATTAAAATAAGTAAACATAGAGTTACCTTTTTTTATTAATTTGACTGAATTTGGAGAAGATATCGGTATTTCTATTTTCCGTATAATTTCTTCTTTATTTTGTTGATAAAACATATTTTATTTTATTTTTCATAATTCAATAGATTCGACCAATTTAACCGCTTGAATCATCAATATTTCACTAATTTCATCCGATTCAATCAATTCCAGTTTTACCAAACATGTACAATTTCATTTCTTAAAGCAATTCATTTCATTAGTATTATCAATATTATATACAGACTTATTGTATCGAATTAAAACAAGATATAAAATTGCATTAGAAGTATGTACATGGTAATTGATTTATCAAAACGGCAAACCAAGGGATCTATCACAGGTATTCACATCACCCAGACTTCATAACAGACAACTACATTAATTTAGAATAATTTAACAACAATATTCCTTCATTCAAACTAAGACGTGTATTTGGACATTTTGTAGGGTTTAATTGCAAGGTGTTAAGAATACAATTTTGTTTAAATTTTCTTAATTTCTGGAAATAATGAAAGATGATAAAAACATGGACGTTATGTGCAAAAGCTGATTATTTTTATACTTGTGCAACTTTTCGTTTGGTTTTTACATTATTTAAACTTTGAAAATCAACAAAAAGGATTAAATTCATACATGTCTAATAGACTTCCTTGATGATTAAAGCTATCTTATTAGTCTTGTTTCGTAAAAAAAAAAAATTGTTAGGATATCTTTTTAGTCTTATTAGTCTTGATGAATAGCTATCTTTTTATTAGTCTTGTTAGGATATGATCCTTTTAGAGAGGTCATAGCTTGAATGCCTTTGAGAATTGAGAGCCACGTGTGTTCTCTACGTACATTGCCTCTTGTTTTTCTTTCTTTTTGGACTGAACCCTTGTAAACTGTGTAGGAGACTTAGAACATCTCCAATGCTACAATGTGCACGATGCACATGTGGCATGAGAGAGAGATAGACACAAAAATTGAATTAATAACATTTCTCTCTCATTCTTTCAATGGTTTTACATGTTTTTGATAAGTTTTTTCCCTGCAATGTCAAGCACAATGTCTACACCTAGACATTGTGCTTGACATTGTGAAGAAAAACTTACCAAAATGAAGCAAAATCCTTCAAATAAGGAGAAAGATATTCTATTTATTATTATTTTTAATTGGCTATTGTTCATGCACCACTACAAAAAAACACTCCATTACCAATGAAATTTCCAACAGATTTAATTACAAAAGTCGTTGGAAAAACATCATTCCAACGGATTTCCAACAAAAACAGTCCGCCGGTATACAATGGTTGGAAACTTTTGCGACGATCCTTTCTGACGGAATGATTGAAGTTCCAACGATTTTCCGATGGACAATGTCGCTGGAAATTTGCAACAGATTTCCAGCGAAAAACTTTCGTTGGAAACCAACTACACGTCTTTTTATACCTACCAACGGATTGCCAACGGATCATTTTGTCGGAAAAAGTAGAAAAAATATTAAAAATCTGGCTATTAAATCGATTTCGATTTGTTTTTAGCGTATAGCGGTGGTTTTGGAACCCAACACATAAATTGCAAACAATAGATTTCACACCAGAAATG